TATGAAGCAACCCTCCCCTTAGCCATTGTTTTGGCGTTTTTGGAGTGTGAATGCACAGGTTTGATAAGGATAACGACCTCACGATACATGAAAGTCTTGTGTTGGGTAGGGTCATTTTTTAACATTAACTAGCTGCGTACGGTCAGCTGAGGTGAGTCTCTCATTGGGGGACTGGGACTTTACTTCATAGAGGGAGAGCTGAGAATCCGGGTGACGTCTTCATGACCGTACTCCCACGGTTCCATTCCTTCTAAGACTCATGAGCACAGCAATGAAGGCTGCGCTCCTCTATTCAGGGATCCCGCCCACAGGCGTAGTGGGGTCCCGCCCACATGCAGGTATGTCGCCTGGACCTGATTCGCTCCCGTGAACGCACACAACTGGGCGTATCGTAATCCTTGTGTGCCCAGAGGCTGGGAAACGTGGGCGACGCGAACCTCGCTCCTCACCCGTATCTAAGGCCGCGACGACAGTGCGTAGGCGTACAGTGAGGGATGTTGTGTGCGTCCACGGGCCTCAAGCCCTAATTTTATGCGCTCGGAGTACTGTATACCCTTTACTGGTCTAAATTTATAATGCTCACCGGCGCGTGTACGTTCCCCTTTTTCAGTTATTATGACGCCCAACTCCAAACTTCACCCTTAAAAGCATTTGTACTGGGTATACATTACTCCATTTCAGACCGTGACATGACAGAGACCCCAAGTGAGAAGATAACGCCTGACAAGGCTCTTTCTGTAGATCCAGATGTGAGTATACGACACTATCGAAAAGATTGATTGAATTTATCGTTTCACAAAGGATACTGTTGACACCATAATATTTCAGTGCGCATATTTCAACGTAACCGGTGGAAAGTCCGATCACATGCTGGTAAATCTTGGAGAAAGTCGTCTGGCAGTAAAGGTAACCGTTTTATCACGAATTAGATCCACTCGAACGAGAATCGATTGGATGACTGCGAGCTCAACACCTATTTGGGAGTAGATGCACCCATTGAGTAGATGCGAAGGATATACGGACAAAGGATAAAGTTTTCGCCATCAGTCAATCCATACTGTTTCCATCCGAAGCAGGTAGTGACTGTGTTCAGTGCTGACGTAGGCCTATACAAAGCGACTGCGATATGGACTTTGTGGGGCCGGCCGGTTGTATAGCGCCATTTGTCCTCACAGAAAATTCTGGTCCGATTTACCGGTCCGCAGATGGAGGAAGGTCCGCCGTTCACTTAGACGGGCGTCAGGCGTGTGATCCACCAACCAAGCGGCCACATGCCTCGCACCATTCCTCCTCGCTGGATTGGTAGCCAGACAGCTGTGTAATTTGCGCCGCCGAATGGCCGCTTGCAACGTAAGCCCTGGCTCAAAGGAAGTGTGGCCATTTGAATTTGAACGTTTAAGGACGGAAAATTTCTATATCAACCTTCATGCAGTCTATTTCCGTATGGATCCATTCGAATTTCGCTGCTCTGATCCAAAAACTGGTGCATATCGGGGATTTGTCGCGCATTTGCCGTGCTAGCGCGACAGTGCGACGAATTATGGTTGTCTTGCCCGTCTCCCGCAAGCGGAGGTCTCGAGGGAGCAGGGTGCAGCATCAAGATGAGTAAAATGCCATCTCAGTACGACTCCTCTTCCCCCTCCCCAATCCCTCCACTTACAGGACCCCATTCCCGTCATACCAGCTACATATTCTTCATACTCTTTTCTAATTTTCCGAGAAGAACTTAGCTTTTTTTAATCTTCTCCAGAAAAAGTGGCACCGAGTGAGAAGGAGGCCTTCTCCAATCAACTATAGGAAATGAAGCTTATATAGTAGTCTCGCGGCGCCATCAGTCATAGAGGGTATACAGCACACGAAGTTTCTCCAAGCCAGACCACCCTTTCCCCACCGCGAAGTGGACAGCTCGATGGAATTCTCCCAACGATATCGTACTCTGCGAAAGAATTATTGGAAGGAAGCGTCTGAGAAACGTTACCAGATCGAGATGCGGTACTCCAAGCATTCAGCAAAATAGTAGGAAAACCTCAGAAGCGACAACGCAAATGGCGCGACATGCGCGGCATTCGCACCAAAACGCAATTGGTTTGGCGGTGAAACGCTGGAGTAAGCCGCTGCAGCCGTAGAAAATTCTGCTTACACACCTTGTTTCTACTTGTGGCCGCAAGTTGAATCACCTGACTCACACCCGTCTTGATCAGGCCTTCGTCCATTTCCCCCTACGACACATGTCTCTTGTTTTTCACGGAGCGACTGTGCACATTATCTCAGAAAAACCTGAACAGAACCCATGCTTACCATATCTATCCCCAACGTTCTCGTCCACGGTGCCTTGGTCAATACCTATCTTTACAGAGCAGTTTCCCTATTCTACTTCAGATTCGCTGCAGCAACAATGCCCTTTATCGAGTTTCACCGAGTGCGATGTTCATCGACGCCGGCCAGTGTCAAAATCTCGTTGTCATTAGACAAGCCGGTGGGTTTTCTGTTAACAACACCTGTGTTGAGGGGCATCAGGAATAGATCGGGTTTACCCCAACTTTGTGACGAGCAAAGGTAGAAAAAAGACGAGCGGCAGACAAAAGTTATCCGCGAGCCATCACGTCCATTCCAGGGAGGAGACACGTCCATAGGGTGGGCATAGGGTCAATTAGATGAGCTCCCTGGCGACTTGTTTTTCAGCTTCTAACATCCGAACAAACACAAAGGGTGCACCTCACGAGATATATGGGCCTTCAAGCACTGGTGACTGCTCTACCATCTCTCAACATTCCCAATATTTGCAGGTCCTGCCCGTTCCGACAAACTGATCTTGCAATTCCTGCCATGCGAAAAAGACGTTGAAGATTGTAAGGAATTCTTCAAGCAAGCCGACAAAAACGGTGCCAAACCGGAGACTCTTCGTATTTCGCTGAAGGTAAGCCATGGATTCCAGTTTTCCCAAAACTTCATAACGAGGGAAACATTGACGGATAGCTTTCTAGATGGTTGGCGATCAAGGCTATCGAGTAATTCCTTCACGTGAAGTGACCGACGATGCAATCGGGTAACGACGACATCACAACGCTATCAACAGCGTTTATTCACAATTACAAATAATTTGTAAAAATCCACATTGTAAATTTTGGAGTGAAATTTCTATGATTTCGTTGTTGTTGTTTCGATTACAGTATTGAAGAAGAAGAAGAAACAAAGGAAACAAAAGAGAAAACCCTCGGAGTTCACCACTTTTTCCGCTGCGGCCCCTCTCACAACAGAGATCCCACCTACAGTCTCACCAAGTTTTCCAAAATTTCACCGCCTACCCGCGAAGGGCACAGACTTAAGCGCGCTGTGGGAGGGGCAACTCTTCGAGCAGGCTTACCCAGAACTTGCTCATCATGTGAGAGAAAGTGGGTAAGGGAAAAGGTTTTGAAGCTCAAACACATTGCCTCGGTGAGAGGGCGTAGATGAGCAGATATGACGTGATTTAACCCCGCTAGAACCAGAGGCATATAGCGCCGGCACTTCTGATCAGACTATCAGAAGTAGCGGTTTCGTAGAACTGCTAACAAACGAGAGAGGTGGGGAGGTGAGTGTAGCGGAGAAGGAGAAGTAGAAAAAAAGTGGAAATATGGGAGGGAATTGCATTCAAGTATCGTGGCCAAATACACCTTCCCCAGCGGGGCTGCAAGGGTCCCACTGATGGGTGATACACGCTCGAGTTCGATCAATCAGCTATTGGGATACGCCACGCACTCGGTCTCCATACAGAATCATAGGTGAGCCCTGATTTTGCAATTTTGCAATATCCAATGATACAATGACCTTCTGGGCTATGACATTGAGTAACAAATCACATAATGGGCCACTGGACCAATGGTAGTACCACTTGGAAACTGGAAGTCTTGGAATCCTCAGATAATAAATCCGAAAATCAGGGCACATCATTGGTTGGGTTGGGGATTTTGGTTGAGTCTAAACGTCCCCCCCCCCTCCGGCCCTCTGTCCCTCATCGAATCGAGCGGGGGTGGGGGTAACTAGCACATGTGAAGCATGAACTACCACGAGACAATACGACACCCCCTCCCCTTCTATCAATCTAAAGGATATCGCTCAGATTATTCCCAACTTACTGCCCACTTTTTTTTGCTGGTACGAGCAGGGGGGGGGGGTGTATATCTACGCATGTGAGGACAGGATCAACGAAAAGTCAACCAACCCCTCCTCAGGAGACACCCCCACCCCTTCCCAACAATGAGCAATGTCAAACCCCCTTTGATTAAACGGTCCCCCCCCCGCTCGCAGCAGCAAAGGTGAAGCGAAGAAAATATTAACTATCAAATATAAATTTTTCTCAGCTCAAAAACGATGTCCACCCCCTATAGGGATGTCCCCCAACACCAGGTTGCCCTGCCAAAAATACATACTATCTCAAGCAAGCAAAATAAACCTACTTATTTCGCCAGACGGCACCGACCGCTTACCACTGCCCTCCACACCGCCCGACAGACAATATAGTGACCTGGACGGATACGCTTTACAGCAAGCGGTTGACTCGATTCGTACACCTGGAAGAACGAGCCACGAATGCAGTCAGAAATATCATCGCCCACAAGTACGTCCAATTAAGATCAGCCGTAATTTGCGAGACCCGCATGAAGGAGTTGCATGCCGCTCGCTGAGTTCCTGGCCGAAGCGTTCAGGGAGCAATTACACAAATTAAATCACAAGAAAATTTGCCAAAATTTTCGAATCCTCATAAATTCCCTCCTTGGCATGAGCCCTTTCTCATTCTACCTGCCATTTTTCCTAAAACTTCGTCGTCGAGCTCGGGGATGGGAGTACGTGATGGGGGGGGGGGAGGGGAAGGGAAAAGATGAGGAAGGTGGGCTTTCGACAGACTATTCAAGTTGTTTTCTGCGCCACCAACTACTGGAAAAAGGGAGGGTACTCACCGGATGGTGAGCTTTGTTGGAAAGGAGCTGGTGTAGCACGGGTACGCGAGCCAGCATGTTACCTACTTTTGTTGCCAGTTGAGAGATAGATGACGTGTCACTGACGTCACATAACACTCACGTGCTTGTCACGTCATCAAAAACAGTTATATCCCCTATTAACGTGTTATGTGACAGGTAATCTCTCTGCCGTGTTAGCTGGCACTCCATCTCTTAGCTCTCTAGCTCTTATGGTTAGCTGGTAGCAGACCTATGCTACTCCTGCACTTCTTTCCGTCAAAGGCAGCGCCCGCGTACGCCCCCCCCCCCCCTTAGATATCGTAGCTTTGTCGACAAGGGTGGAGGATGTACTAATTTCGCAGCTCAAAAATACGAGAGGATGGCGCCACCCGCTTGTGAAGAGGATGCCGCCCCGCCCATCTGGCTGCCATGCACTGCTTTGGCTTCGTCTTTAGAGGCTGGGCCAGCTTCCAAGAATGAAGAGCTATGGAGTTCATATAATACGTGATCCAGTAGTGAAGAAAAAGCAGAAAGAAATCATGGAAAATGCCCTATATAGAACCCTATGCTGGCCAGGTGGGGGGGCGGCCGACTCTTCACTAGCGAACGGCGCTATCCTCTCGCCTTTTTGAGATGCAAAACTAGTACATACTGCATCCTCATAGGGAGGGCTATGATATCCAGAGAGGGTGCGAGAACATCAAATGAACGTGGGTGCTGCCTCCGAAATACAAGCAACGAAAAACAGAAGTCCAATTGAAATGGCTAGGTATAGCGTTGCT